ATTTAGAACATAAAGTTACAATTGAAGTTACGTGGAACCCTAAGGAGCGCCAGTTTATGGGCAAATGGTATGTGGATACGAGTATGTTTCGTGGTGAAGACTCATTTGAGCTCAAGTTTATGAAACAACTGGAACCATTGACAGGCGAGAACAAAGACAATCCTTAACAACTAATTAGTGATTAGAAAAATATCATTTAATGACATGAACTTATAAACATAAAGTGAATTTCGTATATATTTTAGAAAAAAAATTTGCTTCAGCGATCTTCAAGTATGTAGTTTAGATTTGACTTACGTTAGTGTTTGCAATTTTTCTAGAGCCGATCTCTTTTCTCTTTTTATAAATAAATTTTTCACCGATGTGTTCTAATATTTAAGTTCATACGTGTGCATTTCATTTGAAGAATTTACGAGTTCTTACACGCAGTGCGCTGGATATCTGCGTTTCCCATAAATTTAAAATTGTCATTATCTAAAGAGGAAGACGTATAATTAGAGATTCAACAATTCAAGGGATGAATTTAGGTGCTACGCTAGAGTAATAATAATGTAAAGCGTAATAGAGCACAAGAATGAACATTTCTGTTACTATTATTTCAATATGGATAGCAATACAAAAGCGTAAGAAAGAAATCATTTAAATGGATTTTAAGATGCCTTTATGTGACTACGAAATGTTGCAGTGAGCGATGTGGATCAGGAGTCTACCATTTCTTCCTCGATTGCAACTCCTAATAAATTTAATTGGTCGATGACTTGTCAAATCTGAAAATAATACAGTATGAAGAATGAAAATTTTAAGAGCTAGTCGATTTCGAAGTCATCAAACTAATTACTTAAATAAGAGTAAAATTGTATTGAGTAAAAGTCAAAGACTAATAGCTGGAGTTTCGGTCATGTGAAGCTTCAATCTTTCTCTGCTCACAAAATTCCGAATTAATTCTGACACAACTTCATTCTATAGAAGCGTCTTGAGAAAAATGTTTTCGAGTTGGCAATATATTAGTAATTGACAAACAATAAACAAAACTTTCGTTTTATCAAAGGCAGAAGTCAGGTATTCATGACGACACAGGAAGAAACTTTCTTACATGCTTTATTGCTTTTGAACGGTGACAGCTTTAATTAATAGGGTATAAGTAACTAGGCCAATAGTCTTAAGTGGTTCGCTTTCTCGAATCTTGGTTGCTGAGATATTGCATCACTAGTGAATTTTTCTACTGGATTTCAGTTTTCGAAGAAAATCATGCTTTTGAAATTTGAACTGAGACTTTGTCCATATATAGGTGTCATATGGAACAGCTTCGAAAAAAGTTACGGAGTTTTTGACAAAATCTCTGTAAGATAGGAATTTTTCAAGTATCCATATTTTTTTACGATCACCGTGGAAAAACGCTCAAACTTTGAAAAAAAAACATATCTTTAAGAGTCTTTGTTGAAAAATTCTGAAATTTCGTTTACAAAGATTTTAATTGAAGCCTTTATGTGAATAAAGTTTCAGACCAAAATTCAAAATTGTGACTTTGCTTGAAAACTAGATCCCTGCAGGAACCCACAGTAGTCTACTTACTATGTCATATCGATTGAACATAGAAACAGTGCAAAAACGATTAGTCACCTAAAAAGGTTCCCTTGTTAATGAAAATCTCTACTGCGCTTGCTGTTCAAGGTTCTGCAACCGAATTTGTCTGTTCCATTGCTATTTCGTGCTCTGTTTCTCTATGCTTTCTTATGGAGCAAATGAACATGATGAAGAACATTGTCAATCACGACGCACACATACCATTCACCTAATCATCATTGTCGAATTTCAATTGAGCTACAAATGGTAACCTGAGATACTCAATAAAAGATATCCATTTCACTCGCACTATGCTATATGTGACAGATCTACAATTTTTCCAACGATTTCTCGCTAGTTTGACTGGAACGTTTTCTGAAAGTTTGCCAAAAACGCCGTGCATCTCAAGTTTAAACATAAGACCAAGCGACAAGAGCCTGGGTGAATAATTGACAAAATTCGGCGATCCGTTTTCTTTGATTGATCGAACAGTATTGTTGTACGATGATGACTCAAGAAACTGATGAGTCAATCACACGAGGCTTGTTAACATTGCCATAAATGGGCATCATGTTGACTCATGTGAAAATATCGAGGAGAGACATAAAAGGTGAAAGGAAAAAGAATCGTCATTCGACAAGCAGCCAAACATCTGAATAAGAAGAGAACAGAATTTTTTGTTGTTACACATTGTATTCTGAGCAGACGATCACGTTTTCTGACATTTCCAGATTTTATTCAACATTAAAGCCAGTGTGTCAATAGACGAAAAATGGCCGGTACCACGATTAGATCCAACGTTTGGATGATTGATGTGATGAAGAACTATCTAACGGAAAACCTTCAAGCAACGAATGAAGAAATCGACTATCTGAAACATTTATGCGGACTTAGATCAAAACAGAGGGATTCTTCAAAAAATCTTCAAGGTGCTAGAAAACCGTCTATGATAATCGACGATTTTCTCTATCATGGCGATTTCGGACATGCTAGCAACATGACTTTACTAAAGGACCTCGATATTCGACACATTATTAACGTATGCGATCTTCCTTTGGACAAAGAAATAGTTGAGAATTTTGATGTGTTATGGATCAAAATCAACGATGAACTCGGTTTCAATATTGGAGAATACTTTGACAAAACAAATCGGTTTTTGGACGCATGCAAATCAAGGCAGGAGAAAGTTCTTGTTCACTGTCAGATGGGTATTTCTCGTTCTTCATCAATCGTTCTTGCATATTTGTTGAAGTAAAGCTCCTACTTGTTTCTTGAAATAGATTCTTGACTCAATATTTCAGGTACCATTGTGAGACCCTATCAGATGCCTATGAACATTTGATCGCTCATCGACGTATTGCTGTGCCCAACTTCGGTTTCTTTATACAACTTATTCGCTATGAGAGAGATCTATGCAGGAGTCAAACCAACGATAATAGACAATGTTCGACTGCACCGCTCATCACTGCCATTGCTTCATCAAACACTGAAGGTGAGGTCGTGGAAAAGAGGGAATAACTGAATATTCGGTGTTGGACAGTGTGTATAAAGATTTTTCTAAAGTTCTCTCGCAACTTTTCTTCTTAACATAAAATAAAATAAGCTAATACATACATAGCCATGGCTATCTGAGCATTAAAATGCAGGAACAGAACATCTCTCTACAATAATCGAACTTTTCGATTAGACAACTTTCAAATTTTCTTCAATTCAACATCGCAGCAAAACATCTTCCAAAGAAAAAATGTATCGAAATGTGAAAAAGAAATCAACTTGTGGAAACTTTTCAGATATACTGTCATCATCAGTTTAAAATTTCTCGCATTTTATGGTTCATTTTTGCAAAAGACCTATTGGTCTCCTGTTGAAAACCTTCCTTCATAATACACACATCAAAATCGATGGCACGAATACACAGAATTGTAGAAGACGCAATCCGTCAAAAACAAAGATAACGTACGACATAGCATCCGGGTGTGGTGTGGGTGAACGTGAAGCTGAAAAGAAAACAGACATCCATATCCACACCCCACCCACACCCACACCCTCCATATATCTGTTTTAAAAGTTTCAAATAAAATACTAAAAAGGAATTCAAGTATAGACTTTCTTTGTTTAAAAAATGGAATTACCAAGTCTTCTTGTCTAGATCATTTCGAAATTCTTCAAATGTATTCACTTATTGGTACTTCTCTAAGTCAACAGCATCTTTGTCTTATTGGCTAAAATTAGTAAGGAGGAAAGGATAAAAGAAATCATTCGTTCATCTGTTTCTATCAGTGAATTTAACAGAACGAAAGGTAGCCATTTGTAGGATGTGATCGTTGATGTGACTTTGCTCTTTTTAGGTACACCAACATCCTATTTATGTTCGTCAGTATCATCAATGATTATAGGGGTGTCGCATATTCATCAAACTCAATAATGTAGTCAAATATACCAAATTATTACCAAAAAATATCTAAACCGTTTTGCAACTTTATTAGAAAGCTCTTATGGTAAATTTTTATAATTGATTATTGATGCATGTTCCTCCTGAAGACTGTTAAAGATTTTGAAAGTTCAAATGTGGACAATATCAAATATGAACACATTTTGCATTTTTTATCATTATCATTTCAACTACTTGGGTTGTTATTGTAAACTCGTCAAAGTTTTTCAGTATTATTTTTAAAAAGGCTCGATATTATATTAATGAATATCAGTATATTCTGTTGGTGTCACTGCGTACAAGTAAGCATGCCCTAATTATGTTTTTAGCATCGAATTTACCAATACATTTCGACTAGATGCTGCATTACAGAATAAAAAAGTCGGTAAGAATCGTGTTCTTTTATATATAACTTTGGTGAATTCATGAAAATATACAAACCGATTCAACGATATAATGCAAACTAAAAGTATTGATTGTTGTTCTAGAGTTCTAATTTGTACTTTGATCGTCTAAGTCATTCATGAGTTGTTATCTGCTAGTACTTGTCTGCTGTTACTCAAACGAGTTTTAGAATAAATATTCATCTAGTCATTAGAAAATGATCCCCTTTTAAAGCTTACAATTGTAATGACAATATAGAGAAAACCAATAGCATTTAGAAATCAGTTGATAATATTTTGGATGCCTCAAATTTCTTTTTATTCAACGTAGTTCATACGCATAATATATTGAATTCATATCTCGAGCATCTTTGCCCGTATCAAAAGAACTCTCGACACCTTCACAAAGATCAGAATGAAGTTTGAACGGCAGTTGCTATGTAATATAAGATGAGTCAGAATAAATTTCATCACACCTGTGCAATTGTTGCCACGTAAGCAAAAGAAGAAACTAACGTGTTACCAATCCATCATAGTGAAAGTTTTATAGTCGCTTTTAATAGAAAGTAAACGAATCTTTGTAATTCTATATTCTCAAATCATCTAAAGCATCATTAACGCAAATGGGTTCATCATATCAAAAGCCCGTAGCTGTTTCTAACAAAGATCAGAAACCGTTGCGAGTATTTATCAACGGACCTCATTCAGCTGGTATGTATATTGAGTTTTCTCGTTATTTGTTTTAGAATTAGTAAAATGCTTGGAAGAAACCTTAAGTTTACTTGAAGAATGCCATTTCGTACAAGAAAAGAGTAATAGAATGTGATAAAATTTTGTTTTGAAGTGTAACCACCTCAAAAGCGTTTTTTTGGTAAAGTATATATAATACTAAGTGTTGAAAGGGATTAAGAAAAGTAAAACCTCTAAACTGTATCATTCATGATAAGATGCAACTTTACGTTCATTTTAGGATGCATTACAGAAAGACCTGAACATTTGAATGCAGCGCATGTATTATGTACTCACTGTGTAGATTTACTTTGTAAAAGACCGTAGAACTCAGACCTTAGAGAGTACCTCTAGATATTCGCTTATTCTATCGCTATTTTAACTTGAAATTAGATAAAAATAGTTCCATTCAATTGTTTAGCATCAATAGAGAGATTGATCTCAACATATCGAGAAGAAAGCATAAAATTCTAATTTCTACAGAGGTAAAGCACAACAAAGAAATGATACACGACTTTATATCAAATCATACCCTATATTATAGCATTATATTAAGTAAGAATCGAAAATCTAGAAGATTTATTAATTTTGACACAAAAGAAACATATGTAACTGTCAATAGTATGTTATTGAGGTTGATGTTAAAGTTAACAGCCAAAATATGTGAGCAGTGATAGAATTATAACATACGATCGTAAATATCCGCTTTCAACAGTACAAGTTTCAACAAAGGAGTGTTAGACAACCTATAGGAACTATTATTCGAATTACGCCAAAACTTTGAAATCTTTCTACTAGGAAGTAGCTGTGTAATCAGTTTTAGATCGAAAACTAACTATTGAATGTTGTAAAGTAATTCATCGTCTTGTGGACCCTACTATGTCACCATTCTAGATCATCGAATTTTTTTCTAACGACTTTTTTCTTACTTATTCTATTTTGATCACGGAAAGTTGTCTTCCGACTCTATATGAGCCTTGTATCTTTGCGAAAATGCAATAGATCAGTAAGAACTTCGGTATCACGAGGAGCAACAAATTGATCGTACGCCGACAATATCCTCACATTTTATTTGTATTCATTTTCATTTAGGGAAAACAACTGTACTCAACGTTGCAAAATTTGGCAAAGATATCCCAACAGTGCCAACAATTGGTGCGGAAATCGTAACATTAGCAATTAACAATATCTCTATATTGGCAATAGATGAGGGTGGACGTTCGAGAGCTCGTGTTTTCCAGCGTATTCATTATCGCAAAGCTTCGGGAATCATTCTTGTTATTGACTCAACTGATAGCGAAAGAATTACTGAAGTACGTGACGAACTTCTTCAAATATCAAATGAAGAAGAACTTGAAAATAAGCCTATTCTTATTTTCGCTAATAAACAAGATTTATCCAATTCTATGACATTGGATGAAATACAAGACAAACTTAACTTAACTAAACTAAACGAAAATGTTAAATGGCACTTGCAATCGGCTTGTGCCATTCGAAATGAAGGTCTTCGTGAAGGTTTTGAATGGTTGGCACATTCTATGGGCGAAAAACTTGAAACAATCAAACCGATCAATGAGACCATTAACGATTTGACCGCATTGAAATGTCGTCTGGTATCCATGTGGAATATGGCAAATTTGAAAACATTGTGGAGTAAATTTGTTCAGTTTTCGTAATATGAGAAAGAAAATGAAAAATAATGATCTTCTTGAGATTAATAATCATTTGAAAAAAGTGTTGTTCATGGGGGAATAAAATTTCTTCAACGTCATGCCCGTTTGTCTTATAAATTCTCGGTAGAAATAAAGAAAAAATACGAAAAATATAATACTATTGAATAAATAGTATTAGAATAAATTTTATTTATTTTTAAGAAGACGAAGCATCATTTATTTCACTCATTTTTCAATACAAAGAGAAAATTTCACTCTCATGTAATAGAAATACGAATCGGGAATCATTGAAACTTTCGAGAGCGAGCTAGAAACAAATAATTGTTTTTCTTTCGTGCCTCAACAAGTTCATTAAATTTACATACGTATTCTGTACGCATGCGGAAATATCGTTCTTGAATACAATTTTGCTGACGAAAGAATTCTACACATCACTGTTGGTGGAATCAGTGAAATCAGCAAACAACCAATATTTAACAAGCTTCTTGTTAATTTTTCGTTGAAGTAGACTGGAGATAATATAAAAATGGCCGTGATGTTCCTTTGAATCTCATGCTTTTATTTGGAATTTACGAATGTTTGAAAAAGAATATTCTTTTAAAAGAAAAATATGCACCTTTCAGGCAGACTGGATGATTTCCATACATGGTGCAGAGATTACATAGTTATTACTTGTATGAATATTTTAGCTGAAAGCAAGATAACTGATTGATGATTTCGAATATATCATTCTTTTATTGCCCGATATTTTGGGTGTGGGTGTGGGTGGGTGCTCTTCTTGCCATCAACAACGACCCACCCCCACATCCACACCCGATAGATGTTGCCTTGACAAGATGTTTTCGAACATATATAGCCGAAACTTAGAATCAGGATTGTTGTTGTTAATTCAAAAGCACCAGCATCTTATTCATGCATCATCATTCAAACAACAACAAAACCTCGAGTTCAAATAGAAGAAATAGTCTACTTTTATTCAAAAGATAATTTTATTTTCCGAATTTACGTTTAAGCGCACAAACCAATGAGAGAAAGTACTTCGGTCTGTAAAAGTTTCTCAAGTTATCTTCGCTCAACTTTCATGCCATTTTTCAATACCTCCCAATTCATATTGCTAATCGCGTCAATAAGAAACGTACGATAAGTACCCAGTCCTGCACCATCATCAACTTTCTTCAGTCTTTGATAAGCAATTTCACCAGCTAATCCCATTAAAGACACAGCTGTTACAGCTGCCTCTAAGATTTTATCCTCATTTGCACCACAAAATACACCAATCAATGAGGATAGCATGCACCCCGTTCCAACTACCTTAGACATCATTGCATTTCCATTTCGAATAACATAGGCATAATCTTCGTTTGCCACAAGATCGATTGCACCAGTAATTACAATCACAGCTTTCAATCTCTGAAAAGTAGATAACAAAAGTAAACTCCACTATCTCAGCTGTTTTAATAGCTAATGAATCAATTTTATCGCTGACATGAAGCCCGTCAATAGTTTTATCTCTTTTCTAAAAATCATAATATGTGGACATGATTTGCCTACGCTGGAGCGAAAACACTGTTCATTCCAGAAATTTCAAAAGTGCCGTATTAGTATTTTGTATTTCTTCACCAACATCTTTGACTTGACTTTGGCCAGTCAAAAGTGATACTTGAATCAATGTACAAGTCTGTAGCATATTTTTGACAAAAATTTAATTAAACGACTGATTGAAATGTGTGCCCTTAATAATTGTATTGCGAAAAGATCTTTTTTTTATCTAATTTAACTAAAAATGATCGAAAACGATTTTTGAACAATCCTTTAGAGGATCTGAAGAACTTTGAAGAAATGTCAACAAGTTCGAAAAAGCTAAAAGTGATTTCAGAAGATTTCGAAGAAGATAAAATATCGACATTTATAAAGCTCGTAGAAAACTGGAAAAAACCATGTGCTTTTTACCCTCAAAAACTTGAGTTCATGAGGCCATATTGTAGACTATACTATAGTTTTGATGAATGATTTTATTTCGATTTCTTGAATATTTCAAATTTCAAAATGTTCATATTAAGTTGTTAAAAGCCTTTGGAGCTTAGAAAAAACTTTTTTCTAGAAAGCTAGGCCTTCCACAGTTCTGTATGATGCATATAAAAAAGAAATGCAAGATGTGATATGCATGCCTCGAATTTATAATCGCTACACATGTTAAGACTTTTCTTGGAAGTTTAACTTTCAAATCCCAAAATCTTTTTCTTTGCTATGCGTAGTGTAGAATTGCGGAGCGTCTCGTTCTTTAGATACTTCAATTTTCTCCAAAATTTAACTTAATTTGGGTCTCTACAATCTAATTTTGAACTCTTGAAGTTTAGGAAATAAAAAGCGATCGTTCATGAAAATTCTATGATAATTCCTTCGGAACACTTAACACATGTTTTCTAGAATAAAAACCGCTTCTTTAGCAAAGTTTTGCATCCGCTTTAATTTATTAGTTTTGGTATTTTACGAGAACTTGACTTTTGAAATTCTGACTAATATAATAATTAGCTTTAATCAAGAATTCTCTAATTACGATCTAAAGCTACAATACTAATTCTTCTAATAATGATTCATCTTGCAGTTCTGCATCGAGCTGTTTACTTTTCGGACGCTTTGGATGAAACTTCGTGGTTGGGATACTTTTGGAAACTCGGTTTTGTAAATATTTGAAAAAAGCAGTATATTCGCTGCCACTCGGTAACATTACAATCGAATTCAATCGTCAACACTAGCAGTCCTCGATGCTAGCTATATTTTACCGAAAGAATTCATTCTTTAACGTTTTCAAAAGCTGAGATATAACAAAAATTGAAAAATGCAGTAAACTTTAGTTACGTACTTTACTTAATGTTTTAATGAATTCAATTGATTGGGATAAATTTTCTTCCGTTACGGTGTCACTGACATCTGCATCGACACCTTTCGTCGTTCCACTTCCCAACGCAACAGTTTTAATTTCAGAAATATTTCCATGAATAACAGAAAATTGAATTGCATCCAATAATTTATAAGTGGTCTCTGTGCGTAGCTTAGAAGCACCAGCTCCGACCGGATCAAGAACCACAGTGTGTTTTAAGGCATTTGCCTTTCTGCCAGCTTTAATCATAGATTGAATTGTTCTTTCGTTCAGTGTGCCAATGTTGAGAACGAGTGCATTGCAAATTGATGTTATGTCTTCTACTTCATTGTGATCATCGGCCATAATCGGTGAGGCACCACATGCTGCAATAATATTGGCACAATCACTGACAGTGACGTAGTTCGTAATACAGTGAACGAGTGGTCGTTTGGAAGTAACGTCATATAAGATCTGGTCGAACATGTGTTACCTTGATCTAGTCGATGTACTGACGGAGAGTAGTTCTAAGAAACAACATAAAAGGATGAGCTTAATTTAATGATTTGGTTCTACTATATGTTACACGATCTTTTATGGTTTCTTTTTGAAGTTTCGTCCAAATCATACGAGCGAAGAATATGAAAAATAGATTAGATAAGAAGTAAGCAGATCTCGATTGCAATAGGCTAAGAACTTTCCCAATTTGAACTTTTTCTTTGATATGCCATCAAAGTCGTAGATAACTCGGTAGTTTGTTTAACTTAGTTATAAGTATTTAAAATAGAGCACTGTAAAAATGAACTTCTTAGAAATTTGAAATAGAGATGATCAAATGGATTTTTGAATCTGAAATCCCCTTTAAACAGCGAAATGTTCAGAAGCATTGTCCAGTTCTCGACGCCAAAATTCATCGAAATATATTTTATTGACGAATCCAGAAAGAGTGGAAATTTATCGAAAACAACAATAAAAAAGACTATATTTGTGGATTAGCGAGAAAGAAAATCAGTGGATTGTGATTTCGTCAGTGTTATCTACCATTGCCTTTGTATTTGGACATCCATCACATAAATCACTTTCTTTGTGCAAATAATGATTTTTGGCACAAGCAGTTCTCCATTAAAATAAATGCGAAACTTACACTTATGTTTGTATTAGAAAGCTTGTGAGTTCTTCTGTCGAACCCAATATCAACCAGATCACTAACTGATTCCATGCCGATATTTTGACATGAACTAATGAGACATGCATATAAGACGTTCTCATGGTTTTATCTTCTTAGTTACATTTATTCGGATTCTCATAGCCTGTCACATGTGTTGTCTGACACAGAAACTGATAAGAAATAAAATGATATATGTGCCACACATTGTAACTTGTTTATTTCACAGTGCTAAGATATCCATGAGCCTCAAAATTTGACAAGTAACTCGCCTTTTTCTCTGCCATCCATAGAAATTTTACCAACGTTTTTATCATTTTTAGAATCAGCGTGAAAAACTCCGTTGAATAGAATGTTACTCCAGTATTTAGTCCGAAAAAAAAATTTAAATTTCACTAGTGTACCACGGTTTGTTATAGGCTCGAAGATGAAAGCCATTCAAAACATTGGAGTGATATTCCCTTGGACGCCGTTTTTAAAGCTGATTCTAATTGTGATAAAACTTTTTCTTTGCAATATGTAGCCTTGACAATTTTGTGACGCTGATCACGAATCTAGTAGTATCAACGCATTTCAACCTACAGTACTCCTTGAGATCCACATAAGCTGAAAAACTAGAAAAAGTAAACCTTGACATAAGTAGAACTATTCGATGCACACAAATTTTGACCGAAGTTTTATTTTCATTGTACACAGCTCGTCATCCACTACAACCTCTGAAGTTTTCATAATGAACGCATGAAACTCATGCAATGATATAAGATTATCAATAGAATAGGGCAAAATAAAATGTCTGAAGAAAAATGCTAATTATCTAGGAACAGAAAAAATTTTCTATCTCCCAACATCCAATCGGTTGCCGAAAAAATGTATTTTTCCTCTTCGATTCTGTATATATGTCGACAAAGTCTGAGGGTAGAGTCATCTGCTCATCTATACTTTGAAGTTTTTTCTAATGATGGCCTACCTTTTGCAAAATATCTTCTCCTTGTTTACTGTCTGTAAACATTGCTAGAGATTTCAATTTTTTTTCTTATTGTTTCGAGGTCGTACTTGTACAAACTGAGAACTGTAGTTCTCTCACTAGCTACATTAAAATTTATTGAAAAGAAAAAGAACTGCATTGCATTTTAGAATAGATAACAGGTCACAGGGATTAAAAAAACACACGTTCTTAGATACATATTTGGATGCTAATCTAATTCATTGCAGTCAGATTTCTAATCTCTGCAAGAAATATAGAAAAAATTGAATTGCTGCATTTTTGCAGGAACAATTTGTTTTTCACTAAGCACATTAAACACATCTTCATACTGTTTAGTAACACGAACTTGACTTTCTTTTGAAACTTCGTTTTAGTATACGGTTCAAAAAAACTTAAAATACTTTCTAGTATAATCTTCACGGCTTGCTTATACCACATGAAACTGGAGAAATAGACTAAAAACGGTGGATTTATAAGCAAGATGACTCATTTGGATCGATGGTTTTGTGAAAGTCCTTTCATCATCCAAGGAACAAGAAGTTTCGACACATACTCGAAACTCGGAGCTTTGTAATCCTTATATTATCATAAATTGTCTCTCAATCCTTCTTCAAGGTTTGACTTAATTAACGAGAAAAGCTTTTAGGTGTTCTGAGATTACTAACACCATTTGTTTTCTGTAACATTATCAGTTCTCTGTTAAAAAATGTTTCGCATTTTATTACCGTTAGGGACCACTCTCACAAGCGTTTTTTCCTAGTTTTCACAACCAACGTGTCTGCAGTGAGAAGTACCCTCTAAGGATCTTAGTCTTACCTGAGATGTGCTTTTTTAAAACTCAACCTCACTCTGACTAAAATGAAATAGTGCGAATAACTATACTGCGTTTTAGCAGTACAGTTAGGTTTGCAAAACTGCATTCTCAAAAAATTATCATACTGCCATTTTTTATGTAAAATAAATCGCTGCTTTTTAACATACGATACAAAAATAACGGCACAAAATGTCGATCCCTCTTTCTCTTCAATAAAAAGGTGCGGAAAGAAAACCTTATTACCAAACGATAGAGCTTTTTCTCCTCTTTCGAGTCGTTTTTGATTCGTATTTGTCACACATGGATAAGCGAAACGAGATGAGAAAAAAGAGGAACTTTCGCACAGGATATTTGTAATTTTTTGTATGAACTCGTCAAAAGGGTATTGTCGATGACAGCTAATTATTATTAAGCGTCATTTTACAGGATGTTTTTAACAATTTCATAACAGTCCAAGTCACCGCTGATTCACAAGATCTTTTTAATGAGTCCACAAAAATCGAATCAATTGTTGTCTAACAAGATGCTTTTGACGAGTTCATGTAAAAATTACAAATTTATTGCGCGAGTGCTTCTATTTTTTTCTCATGTCATTTGATTTTCGAATGTGTGATAAATATTAATCACACACTATGCGAAAGAAGAAAAACTTTCCTATCGACTGACAAAAAAATTTCGATTCAGAACTTATTTATCGAAAAAATATAGGGATCAACATTTTGCATTGTTTTTTTGAATTTCACGAAAAGTGTAGAGTCTTTTTGTGGGTGTTGGGTTGTTTTATTGGTGAATGTTTTACAAAAAAGAAGTTACATACGATTCAAAAGAGGAGAGAAGCTTTATCGTTTGGTAAAAAAACGTTTTCTTTCAGCTCCTTTTTATCAAAGAGAAACAGTGATCGACATTTTTGTCATTACTGCCTCATCGTATGTTATTTGACTTACTTTCTTCCTTTGTGTATGTGATATATCGAGAAAGATAGAAACAAAAGAAGGTAGAGGCAATGTGCGTTATGAAATATCGAAGTTTTGTGTTCTTATCTCTGTTTTTTTCGATTTCTTTACACTGAAATACACGTTGCTTCTTAATATTGATATAGCCTAACGATGGACTCTGTCTTAACTGAAATTCGTCTACACGATCAGCAACAACAATCTATTAACGAATCAACTCAAAATCAAGCTCTTCTTCCTCTCGTATTAGTTCCAGCAGCTTCTTCGCAAATTACTCTCAATGAAACATTACAATACATTCATCAATATCAAGAATCAATCGTAGAGAAACTTCTAAAATCCGGAGCAGTACTCTTTCGTCATTTTCCAATACAGACAGCTGAAGATTTTAATCAATTTGCACTCAGTTTCAAATGGAAAGAACTGCCGTATATCGGTAAAGAAGACAAATTTTTCACTGAACTTATTATATACAGACGTCGATCAGAGATAACACTGAAATGCTGATTCAATAAAAAATGCTCTGCACATAGATGCTCTGACGACGACTGTTCCCAAGCGACACGGGTGTGAATGTGGATAGGTGACGAAGTGATGGGCATGCACATTCAAAGTCACAGCTTCCCTTACACCTGCACCCCGACCCACAACCACACCTTCCAGAGAATAGCGTAGGTGTGGTTGGATATGGGGTACGCTGTGGGTGTGAATTTTAATATTTGTTACCTCTTCACGCACATCCACATTCACACTCATACCCACGTCGCGTGAGCAAGTTTCGTAAAGGGATAAACGCGAAAAATATTTCATACTATCCGCATACGCATGATATACATCTCAATTATATTGTTTCCTTCGCTAGTGACAATGACAGTGTATTTTTTAATGCTGATTCTCATGGCAAACTGCATCATGCTATCTTAGTTAGAAAAACAAGTTAGATTCAATCATCTGTATCAGCAAAAGCATCTTTTAGGAAAATTGACGATTAAAAGAGCCGTTGTGAATATGTTGTGTGCGTCTCACTTAAAAGTTTGCGACGAGTCGTAAATGGAAGATATCGACTGTCTTTCGTAGAATTTGTACAGAGACCTTCTTTCCGAGTCAACGATCTCGAAATATGGGTTTTAGGTAAGCCTGTATGCTCGAAAAGCTGCGGCAACCTCTATAAAAAATTCAAAACGCATACCAAGAGTCTCAATAGATAATCAGCCAACAGTCAGCAAAATGAACGCCGATAAAATTCTGTAGCCCTTCTGTTTAGAACCGGGTTAAAAATGCGTGTCTATTTCTCAAAACTCGAAGATTTTTACAGATTCTCGTGTTTCTGTCATATCTCACTGCAAAAGCGTATTATTAATTTGATGAGTGCTCATTTTGACCACCATAGACTAACCATGTATTTTTTGACCTTCAAAAAAGTGTAGCGAGGTAATAAAGATCNTTTTAGGGCTTTCAGAAAGTACTTCAGATCTTCCTTATTATTCGACTAATTTTCAGAAAAAATCTGATATCTGTAATCAGCACACTAAGCTCTATCGAGCTATATGGACTTCTAATAGAACGACG